GCTAAATCGGAGTCTCATTTTTTTTTTTTTTTGCATTACATGATTACAGGATGTGATTCTCTGGACAGTGTTGAACAAAATACAACAGTTCTTACAGCTCTTGAAGGAGCAGTTGTAACAATCAGCTGTCAATATGAAACCACTGATATATTGCCAATTTTCTTCTGGTACCAGCAAAAAGTTAATGGAGCTCCAGAATTCATGCTGGACAAATTTGATAATCATGCCATCCATTTCAAGGAAAGATTTAGTGGCGATCTCAACACAATTTCAAAATCTTTTCCACTGACAATCCAGGATGTGAGTGTGTCTGACTCTGCTGTGTACTACTGTGCTCTGCAGCCCACACTGACTAAAACACAATCAACACTCATACAAAAACCCTTTGTGAGCATCTGAGTAGTGTTGTTCAACCTCTGATGTGATGTGACTACTGCTTCCACTGTTATGAAGCCTGCGTAACTCTAAATACTTATTACACTTAATAGGAAGTTATTATTGCCTAAAAAGATGGCCTACTCATTTGACACACATCTTAGAAAACTGCTTTGCCAAGTGCTACTCATATAATATATTCTTACCTGTATAAAAAACTCTAAAAACAACACATGTAAATGTAAAATGGTAAAATCAAATTCTGTACTTTTAAAAACTTTTCTTTAATTCATATCAGGTGTACTTTCAAGTCAGCAGTGACTCCATTGAACCTTCAAAAAACATAAAACAACATTAACAACACCTGTGTTTTCAGATACTATGCAGGGCTCGCAAAATCGTTAGCCCGACGTCCCGGGGCTATTGTGTTTTCCAGTCGGGCTACCAAAATGTATCACCACTCTGCTCGATGGGCTATCTTAAATGCAGATCTCCCGCGGGTCCTTAAAAACTCCTAAAGTGAGTTGTATCAAACTTAATTAAATACGTTAGATGGTATAAGAAATGTCTTAATTATAATTTCAAGAGGTCTTACAGTTGGGGACGGAAAGACAAGAGTCAAGATATGGCTGGATTAAACTTCAAATGCAATGATGTCATTGAATAAATATAAGTGCTGCACGTTTCACGTCAAAACGCAGTGCCGATGTCTTTATTTGAATGTATCTGAAGGGAACCGACTGTCCTCAGAAACGTGTCGTTGGCATTTTAATTTCATTTAACCTATAATTCCTGATAAAGCAGCGTTTATAAGCTGGGAGCTGCTTTGTGTACAGCCGTTACCGGGGAAACCGCAATATTTCAGCGCTCCTAAAGCGCCACCTCGTGGCAGAGAATTAATCTGCATTCCAAGGCTTCCAATAAGCCTTTCTTGCTGTTTATGGTCAGATCAATGCAAATATCAACTCAAGTTTTACGCAGCAAACACATAGAGTTGTAAATGAGAAAGAAGTTAATTCTTTAAATAAAATAATTAAGACAGTAATATTTATACGATTTAAATTGACATAATAATTTATATGCTTGATTTATCTATTTTCATAA